GGGAGTGCGTGCGTGTTTGGGGTTGCTGTTCTCGCGGCCTGTGCCTGTCGGGAAGGCCCGCACAGACTCCGGGCTGCGGTCTTTATTCAGAACCTGCACGTTTGTTTGCAAGAAGAGAAATTTGTGTTTAAAATCTCAACTAGAGTCCAAGCTCGTTTGGCTCAGTGGATAGAGCATCGGCCCTCGGACTGAAGGGTCCCAGGTTCGATTCCGGTCAAGGGCACATACTTAGGTTGCAGGCTTGATCCCTGTCCCTGATCAGGGTGCAAGCGGGAAGCAAACAATTGATGTGTCTCTCTCACATCAATGTTTCTCTCTCTCTGTCTCTCCCCCTCCCTTCAATCTCTCTCTAAAAAAATCAACGGAAAAATATCCTCAGGTGAGGATTAAAACAAACAAACAAACCCCTCCATTAGATCAACATGAGTCCCCACTGACCTAAGCTGGGACAGCTCGAGCCTCGGAAAATGATGATTCAGTGGATGGAAACACTTTACTATAAATACATGAGGTCATCAGGATGCCGAGGAGGCGATGATGATATCACATTACATGAGATGAGATGATGAATTTATCATGACACATGAGATGATCAGGGGATCATTGTGATACATATGTGGTGATCATGAGATCATGATACATGAGCTGGTGAGATCTGTTACATGAGATCAGATGATGCGATCATGTTACATGAGATGAGATGATGGTGCGGTCATGTTCCATGAGCTGGTGGTGATCATGAGATCATGATACATGAGCTGGTGAGATCATGTTACATGAGATGAGATGATGGTGCCGTCATGTTCCATGAGCTGGTGATGATCATGAGGTCATCATGACACCTGAAGCCATGACCCGGATGATGCTGACGACGAGCCAGAAGCCTCCTTGACCTCCACTGGGGTCGCCGGGTCAGCACGTTACTGCAGAGTTTATAGGGAGAGACTTTTTTTTTTTTAAATATATTTTGTTGATTTTTCCACAGAGAGGAAGGGAGAGGGATAGAGAGTTAGAAACATCGATGAGAGAGAAACATCGATCAGCTGCCTCCTGCACACCCCCCACTGGGGATGTGCCCGCAACCAAGGTACATGCCCTTGACCAGAATCGAACCTGGGACCCTTCAGTCCACAGGCCGACGCTCTATCCACTGAGCCAAACCGGTGAGGACAATAGGGAGAGACTTTTTTTGTGATGTAACCTCAGGGGTTGGGAAGCCCAGGAGGGACAGAGGACGTCTGTCCGTCCATCCATCCGTCCGTCCGTCCATCCTCGGTGCTGGAAGGGGAAGCTTTGCTGATTCTCCTTCGCCAGGTCGGCCGAACGCCCGGGGAGAGAAGGCAGGTTCCTCCCCCAGGGGACCAGGGCTGGGAGGCGGCCTGCGTCGTGGGCAGAGGGTGGATGGGGCCCTGCCCCACCTCTTTCCAACTGTGTGACCTTGGGAATCAGGGAACCCTCTGAGCGCCACTTCATGCAACGAGAAAAGGGACGGAGGCCCTAGCAGCACCTCAGGGGACCCGGTTGAATGGAACCTGAGGCTGGAGGCCGCCTGACAGGCACTGGAAGCGAATGCCCCGCCCTGACCTGCGGGTCCACGTAGAGCAGCCTGGACGTCTGGGCACCATTTTTTGTTTGTTTATTTCTTATTACATATTTATACTGATTTCAGAGAGGACGGGAGAGGGGGAGAAAAACATCAGTGATGAGAGAGAATCATGGGTCATCTGCCTCCTGCACACCCCCCACTGGAGATCGAGCCTGCAGCCCAGGCCTGTGCCCTGACCGGGAATCGCACTGTGACCTCCTGGTTCACAGGTGGACGCTCAGCCCCTGAGCCACGCCAGCCGGGCCAGCACCAGTTTGAAGGGCTCCACGCGGCTCCCCAGGGACTGGCCGCTGCACGTTTCCCTTCCCCCATCCTGACCACCCATTTTGAAATAGTTAAAATAGCCTGTGGTTGGAAAGGAACGGCCTGCCCCCCAAGACTGACCACAGGTTCCAGAATGAAAAGTGGAGTGAAATGGAAGCTGGAACCGATCCGTGTCTGAAATGCAACTTTTATTATTTTTTCCCTTTATTGGTTTTTTGAGAGAGCGGAAGGGAGAGGGAGAGAGAGAGAAACATGGATGAGAGTGAAGCATCATTGATCGGCTGCCTCCTGCACGCCCCCAACTGGGGATCAAACTCACAACCAGGAATCAAACCGTGACCTACTGGTTCATAGGTCAACACTCAACCACTGAGCCACACCGGCCAGGCTGAAATGCAGCTTTTAAAATCCAAAGCTCAGGCCCCTTTGGTTTGGCGAGGCGCGCTATTGTAGGGATGAGATGCTCGCACGGGGCAGAGGAGGAGAAGCGGCTCCGGGCTCAGAAGCCCTGGGCTTGAACCCGGCCCGGCCACTCCCTGCCTGTTTCCAGCTCAAGCCATTTGATTTCTCTGAGCCGCGACTCCCCCTTAGCGAGTGAGGCATGATGCAGGTGGTGGGAAGCTGCTGTGCGTGTGAGAAGCCGTCTGTCAATACCAGCCTCTCTGCCGTGGCCGCTGCGGGGCTGCGGGTGTGGCTAGGTCCCTGGCCCTCCGGTGGCTGAGACGCGTCCTGGTGAGCGAGGAGGACTTACCGCAGTGGTACTCAACCTTCCTAACGCCGAAACCCTTTAATACAGTTCCTCGTGTTGTGGTGACCCCCAATTTTATGGTTACAAATTGAACATAATGAAAGCATAGTGATGAATTGCAAAAACAGTATGTGATTTTATATGTGTTTTCCGATGGTCTTAGGCGACCCCTGTGAAAGGGTCGTTTGGACCCCCAAAGGGGTCGCGACCCACAGGTTGAGAACCGCTGACTTACCGGGTCAGACTTGTCCACCGGGAGGCGCAGGACTGGAACCCAGACCCGCCGGGCCCCTCCTGCTCTGCCTGCGCCTCTGCGTGTTCCTGCTCCTGCGCTGAGTGTAGTCGTAGAAATGCGTTTACTTTGAGCGGAACTCGCAGGTCCTCCTCAGGAATGTAAACTAAATAAATAAGTGAAAAGCTAGTCAAGGAAAAGGGCTTGAGCGGTGAGATGGATTTCTCTTGTGTTTGTTAGATCCACTTAGGGATCCCCGAGACATTTAAATACTGCGGGAGGCCCAGGGCAAGGCGCCCCCGCGGTGGGACAGGCGGGCACTGCGTTCGTGGGTCACGGGGATCTGGCTCCGGGGCAAGGGCTGCCCCCCACAAGCAAACGTCCCCCTCCTTCACCCCAGTTGTCAGGCCCGGCCCAGGCATCGGCAGCGGCTGACGGTGGCTTTGTTTCCCTGGGGAATTCGGCAGCGTTGACGTCCAAGTGGGTGCCGTGTGGCTGCCGGGCCCGCGTGCCTGTGAAGGGGTTGAGTTGTGTTTCTAATTGAAGCGATGAGCAGTGGACATCAGGTGTCCATGCGAACAGGAGTGGTTTCCGTAGAGACTGCTGGACTCGTTTAGAAGGCCTCACCCCAGCCCTGGCCGGGGGGGCTCAGTGGGTTAGAGCGGCGTCCTACTACACCAAGGTTGCGGGTTCGATCTGGTGAGGGCTCATGCAAGAAGTAACCAGTGTTTGCATGAGTAAGTGGAACAACAAATCTCTCTCTCCCTTCCTCCCTCCCTCCCTCCCTCCCTCTCTCTCAAATTAATTAGTAAAAAATTTAAATAAATAAATACAAGACCTCACCCAGCCCAGCCAGTGTGGCTCAGCAGTTGAGCGTCGACCCAGGAACCAAGGTCAGGGCACATGCCCAGGTTGTGGGCTCGATCCCCAGTGTGGAGGCAACTGATCAATGACTCTCATCATTGATGTTTCTATCTCTCTCTCTCCCTCTCCCTTCCTCTCTGAAATCAATAAAAAAAATTTTTTTTAAAGAAAAAGGTAGGGGATGCCGTGCTGTGTGGCTCTGGGTCAGAGTGGTGGGTCTCACGCTGCCCACCAGCTGCCGTGCGTGGCAGAGGTGACTGGACAGGGGCCGCCTGCGTGATGCAGGGAGGGACGGCCCTGGGGAGGGGAGGGCGC